TTTATCATGGTTTAGCCCGTTTTAAAGTTTAACGCTGTTTTGTTTTAAATATATATTTCTTGATACTGTGTGGTCCTTGATATTGAGGAAAAGTAACTAAAGGAACCTGCACGATTGTTTTTTGTATGTGCAGGTATTAGATGCAAATCATGTTCAATGGATGTCCTTTTACTAGATATCAGAAGCAATGGATAAATGCATCAGTCTAAGATAAGATAAGAAAGCTATTTTTATAGTATTGGAGTAACATTCATAGTACATGCAGCATAATCAAACCTAAGATAAGAAATCCCATAGATAGATAGTCATGGCTTCTATTAGTAACCAATACTAAAACAGAAAATGTACATATACATTGCTGTAAAACATATTGAACTTACCTGGAACAGGATGCGCGATGAGGAAGTCGATGAGATTGAGTCGATTAGGGTTTAGATTTGATCAGGAAGAAGATGGTGAGGGTCAATTAGGTCAGAGAGGAACACGATGTGTGCGATTGAGGGATTGAGAGACTGTGGGTGAACGAACAGTCATCAGGATGAGGAAGAGAAGGAACAGTCTAAACAATGAGAGGGATTGGCATTTTTCATTTTCAAAAATTGTTTTTAAATTAAAATTTTCTTTTAAATGACACGTAGGATATTTATGTGTAACATGTTATCCTACATAGTTTCCATGTCATTTTAAATTTGAAACATCAACAAAGAAAAACCTGTTCAAAAGGTAACAGACTACCCAATGCTATAACGGGTAAATTTTTGAAAGTACAATGCCCTAATAAAAATTATTTTGAAAGTACATTGATGTAATAAGAAAAACTGAAAGTAGAATGCTATAATAAGAAAATTTATAAAAGTAGGTTGCTATTTTGCGCATTTTGCCCTATTACATATATACTAGGAGGGTACTCGCGCAATGCAACGAGATACATCTCGATTTTAATGTTTTATTTTATTATGTCTCCGTCGATGTTATAATACGATTTTATGTGGTACCAAAAAAACGATATTGTTTTTATTTTTTTGAATAAAATATAAATTTGAAGATATCATAAAATTTTTAAAAAACATATATCGATTTTTGCATCAAATTAAATATTTAAAAATTATTGTTTTTTGTGTAATTT